GTAGTGGTAGTAGTAGTAGTAGTAGTAGTAGTAGTAGTAGTGGTAGTTGTAGTAGTAGTTGTAGTAGTAGTAGTAGTAGTCGTGGTGGTGGTGGTGGTGGCGGTGGTGGGAGTAGTAGAGCACACATACACATATACATATACATGTGCATATACATATGCATATACATATGCATGTACATATGTATATACATATATCTATCTGTATACGTGCCTCTCTGTCTGTCTGTCTGTCTGTCTGTATGTATGTATGTGTGTATGTATGTATGTATGTATGTACGTATTTATGTGTGTATGTGTTTATGATACATACGTACACACACACGCACACAGACACACATATATATATATATATGTGTATATATATATATATCATTTCAGAAGGGACTGTCATGGGGCCTGGGTTTTTGCAACCCACATTTTTGGTATACTTTTCGGTACTCAGAAGGGTCGATCCTGGGGCCTGCGTTTGTGCATAAGGAGTTTTTACGTGTTTCGATCGGGCCCGTGATGCTTACTTTCTCAAGTTAACCTTCTGTTCACGGATCCTCTGTTGAATTCTTTCAGGTTCCTCGTCTTGTCAAGGATTCTTGACATGGTGTGTTGGTTTGTTGAATTTGTATGTTTAGTTTCCATTTGCCGGGTTTATGTAAACACGAAGGCTGTTTATAAACACAGGGGTTGTTTATAAACAAGCGCTTCGCTCATTGGTGAGAGAGCGGGGAGGGGGGGGGAGGGGGGGGGGGAGGGGAGGGGNNGGGGCGGAGGTCTAGGTTTGACGGGGCCAACATCCAAGACCTCCCTCCCCTCCCCTCCCCCAACGCTCACCACAACGTACAACCACAGACCAATCCACCATCCCACCAACACGCGCGTGGCCATTCCCGATAAACGTTAACCCCCAAGTCTTAAGTCCTGACCAACAGAACTTTTTCTGAATGGCGGAAAGTGTGGAGTTATTGCGATATGCCCAATGATCTGGTTGAATAAATTCATGAAAACACTGCTGTTTGCGGTGAGTTCTGCTTGTCCTTTTGTGAACACCAACACGGGTTGTTTATAAACACTGGGCCTTGTTTATAAACTCCGGGCTGTTTGTAAACATATGGGCTGCTTAAGAGCAACAGCACATGTGTGCTCGTGTGTTTCTCTGTTTGTGTATACCGAAATAAACGTACTGCAGCAACGCGCGGCTGATGCGTCCAGGCTCATCGAGTGAAACCACAAGATGCTTGTGGATAGTATTTCAGCTAAACAAGATGTCTTGTAAGGCCATGTGTAGGGATGGAGAGCATACGATGGCCTGGGCCATATTTTCCGGTTTACCATAGAATTAGAAGGACGATCCGTTATACTCTGTGCAATCCCCAAAAAAAACTGACCCAAATACTGGCTATTTCGAAGGGTACTTTATCAACAATGGTATTGGAAGAAGCTCGACTGGCATAAGCATCAACACCAGTAGGGTTCCAGCTTTGGACAAAAGTCAGGTTTTCATCGCTTCAAGTTCGTCCTTGCTGGCCTTATATGTAAATAGATAGGAAGAATCAGCTGGCATCTTATCTTTGCTTCAGTGTGCAAAACAAGAGCGCGCCCGTGTCTGCACACTTCGTTAATCCTACATATGCAATTCAACAACTCATTTGGCCGAATCTTTACACTGGTGTTCTCAAACAGTGTTAGCATTGTTGCTAGTGTTGGCTGGGCTTGCTTTGGGTAGCGAGTCCAAACCTTAAAGGCTAGAGGCTCTAAGCTGCATAGGAACACTGTCGAGGTTATGTGGCGCGTTCTGAGGGTTTGTTGAACGAGTCTTACAATCACCGTTATTTACATTGTTTTCTGCTTGTAAAAACTCTGCACAATAACACCGATTAAGTGTTCAACCTGCACACTGGTGTGGCGCTTGTCTGAGAGCGGCATTTGCACAGCTCGAAAAGGCCCTTCCGAAACTTACTTTTGAACCTTGCATTGTGGATTATGGCCTACAAACCACACAAACACAAGCTCCTGCGACATAGAGCTATTAACCCTGAAACCCAGTTAAAAGCGTTAAAGCTCTCTGTGACCTGCATGTGCGTCTAAAACTGAACATTTAGTGCTACGAACCCACATTTTAGTAGTCGACGGGCCACTTCTGCCAAACAGTGGAGTTGCAAAAACCCAGGCCCCATGGCAGGCCGCTCTCTATCATTTTATATCTATGCATGTGTGTATATATATATATATATGTATATATATATATATATATACATATCTATATATATATATATGCATATGTACATACACATGCATATGCATACACAGCGTTGCACATGCATGGTCCCTGACATAGTACCCTCCCCTCTATCGCTTGCTGCTCTTCGTGTTTCTCTCGCCTCATAGCTGCAGACTTTGCCGAACTGGTGCAGTGTTTGCTGGACCTGTTGAGGCGTACCAGAGCGCCTTCTCCCCGTCACCATTGGAATGCCAGTTCGTCTGCGCATGTGATATTGCTTCGGCAGAAAGTGCTGTTAATTCCGGCTGGGCCGTAGATCTGCTCAGCAGCCGACCTCCTTCTGCTACAATGCCAGCACCTTCATAGGAAAAGAGCGTGCTATTGGTGGTGATGGAGCAGCTGCAGAACTCGTCTCATTTTCTGCTCATCCTGGACACTGAGGTGCAGGCTCTGTGATGTGCGCCGCAAGCGAGAGGCAAACGGTCCTCTTCGTGCGAGAATCCCTTCGCTTTCTCAGAGGCTGCCATGGGCAGTGTCCGATCCATGCAACCCATGCAGGAGCAATGCTTGGAGAACCAGCAGCAAGAGTCGAAAGGCCTGGAGGGCATCAACGGTCTGGTTGGCTTGATCTCACCACTTCACGATCTGCATTGCAAGGCGCGGAGGAGGCACGTGCTGCGAAGAAGCGCCGTTGCCTGGCTGCAAAGCGGGAACTCGCTTGGGTGGAGCTCCAACGGTGATTCTGGAAAATTGGTATTCCAGGTCACTGCTGATAGTACCTTTGTTCATGCGAAGCCGAAATCTCACATGCTGCCATGGACCGGACGAAGTTGCAGAAGGTTGGCGGTCGCTACCCAGCTGGAAACAGACTGCCCCGTGCATCCCCAAATGAGGCATTTCGAGTACTAAAGTTGTTCTGCAACCCAGCACAATCCAGTGGGGACCCCGAACGAGGCATTTCCAGTACTAAAGTTGTACTACAACCAAGCACAGGACCTCACACCAGGCATTTCCAGTACTAAAGAGCACAGGACCTCAAACGAAGCATTTCCAGCACTAAAGTTGTACTACAACCGAGCACCGAGCCTTTTGATCGGTATAACGATGACAAGACAATAAGATAACCCGATTCCGGGATAGGGATATTTATACCGGGTTATTTTGCAACCCCCGGTGGCAGTTCGAGCAACACATTAAAGAAGTGAGCTTTCATGCAAAATTGCTGGCATGGATTCTGATGCATGGTTTGCCTTCTAGGCCTTATGTGTGGCCTCCTTGTGTGTCCAAGCATTCCAGCTCGAAAAGCACGCTCACACAGAACCCCCAAGTGTGTGCCAGCGCTATCCGGCAAAGCCAAGCTTGAATCGTCATGAGGCTTGGAGGAAGATGCCGAGGAAGCAGCCCGGTATGAAGAGACTCGCCGGCAGCGTTGCCGCTACTTGTGTCGCTGGTGGCACTGATGTTTGGGCTGAGGAGCGGGGCCTGGTCTTGCGCTTTGCAGTCAGCCCAGTCGAACTCTCCACCCTTCCGGGAGAGGCATCTGCAATCTGCATCTGCTGAGGACGACGTTCCTGCGTCGGTGTCGTGGAGAGACTTAAAGGACACAAGAGTCAAGAGCCCATGTGAATCTGCTGGCTGTGGGGGAAAACGCAGGAAGGGCTCTCGCCGTATGGCAGGGTGAGATTCGCAGATGCCCCAGAAGCACAAGAAGCCGAGGAGCCGAGCCGAGCCGCGAGAAATCTCAGGTGCGCTTCTGCAAAGAGGAGGAGAAGCGCTTTGCGCTTGTGGCAAGCTCGGTTCCATGACGATAGGCCGATAGGCCCGGCCGAAGAAGTGCCCAGCTGAGGTGCAGATGAAGGACGAGGAGGGCATCTTCGCCATCCTTGGCTGCGCCAAGGAGGATTCCCGTCCCCCTGTTCTCCCGGTCTCTCTTCCTTTGCAGTAGTTTCGCTGCTGTGCGGTAGGTGTGCCAGTTGTCTGCAGGACGAGGGCTTCCTTTGCGTGCAGCGCCGGGCCTGGACAATCTGAACTGCTTCTTAGGTTTGAACGCTAGAATGTTCTAGATGGGAATCCTAGAACTCCAAATAGAACGGCGTAAGGCCGCGCCCGGTTCAAGTTTATCCAAACTCCCAGCAATCCTGGCATCTAACCGATATCCAAGTTTTGATTGCTTTTCTGGCATGCCTGTACAGTACATGATTTTGCCATGCTGCTGCCGCACGCCGTCCATAGGCCTCGCAGCGCTGTCCCCATTTGCGAGACAGCACGAAGTAAAGGACACCGGAGTACGCAGGATAGCGCTACAGCTCCCAACCCATTTAGGCTACGGTGCAAGCAGAAGCGAGTTGGACATCCATGCATCCGCATTCTACGTACCAAGACGAGCCTATGGCTAGTCAGTCGATTCAGCAGAACTGTTATGCCTGTCCGTGGTTCCGCTGACTGCGAAATGCTGCGATGGACCATGGCTCCGCCTCGGAGGAGGCGAGTTGCCTCGAGTGCAAGGAGGTCACATGCTATCATTGCTACTTGGAAGTACAGTCCTGGTGTTACGAATTCTTGAACCCGCTACAACACCTTGTGCTGCGCGCTGTGCTTCGGCAAAGAAGTCGAAACATTGAGGTGAGCTTCTACTTGACGATCTCGGGTACCGTCAGCCTTTTCGTGTCTCCAAGCTGGAACTCTTCCAGTCGTGGAAGCAACACGGCCGGTTCTGCTTCACTGACGCGGGCCAGTTACAGGGGGGTCTCTAGAAAGGCTTTTGAAGGCCTGTTTGTTGCGAAAAAGCCAGAGAAAACGTCAGAAGCGCAGGCCCCGAAGGCAGAGGCAGGCTCGGGGCCATCTTCAGCCAACACAGGTTTTCCATCTCAGCAAGCTCCGCCACACCACACGTCGCAACAGCGGCAAGCTGCCAGCCGTGCCAGCCCACAGGAGGCGAACGGCATGTCCAGCTTTGCCGCTCTGATGCAGAAAAAGCCGCCAGTGCAGACCCCGCCATCTGTCTCACAGACGCGACCTGCTCCACGACCCCCGGCCTCTGCACAGCAGAGAGCCCCTAACGGCTCCGGGTTCCCCTCGCAAAGCCCACAGCCTGTTCCGACACAGACGAGGCAAACCTCATCTGGGTTTCCGTCAATGCCGAGCTCGTCAGGGTTTCCTTCACCCCATGGCACGTCGTCAGGTTTTCCCAGTAGACAACCAGTTGCAGAGGCCCAGGTCCCGACTGGATTTCCGTCCCCACCCAAGCCAGCAGATACAAAGCCGCCTATCCAACCGCAGCCCCAGCCCACCGCCCCTCCGCCAGTCACAAAGCATGCGGCCCCGAGCTCAGCGCCCCCGCCACCTCCCAAACCCCCTAGCCCGAGCCCGCCACCACCACAAGCCAAGCAGGCCAAAGCGCCGACGTCACCTGGTGTTTCGGACACATCTGCATCTTCGCAGCAGACGGCAGGTGTTCCTGTCAACGGAGCAACAAAGCCAGACGACTCCAGCTTCTACGCTATTCTTGGAGTGGCCGAAGGCGCACCTCTGACAGAGATAAGGGCTGCATACCGCCCCTTGGCTGAACTGAACCTACAGCATCTCTCTGCTTTTAAAAAATCGCACCCTTTGCCACGAAGCGTGAGAGGTCAGCAAGCTCGCAAATCGCATCCAGACCTCTTCCGCACGGCATCGCCCAAGGAGCAGGAGGCCGTGGCAGAGCGCTTCTCGCAGGCCGGGCCGAGCCGCGACTGCCGGGCAGAACCCCCGCCTGCCTGCGTTACACTCCTTCCACGGCCAAGGTCAACAAGGCCTTTGACATACTGAGTGATCCCGCCAAGAAGCAAGCCTATGATTTGCGAGGCGCGGCCTTACGGTTACAGGCAGCGCGTGCAGAGAGAGTTCGGGGCATTTCTGACCGGAGGTTTGGCTGGCCTCGCGGAGTTCGAGTTCGATGGTGAGCGAATCATCATGCCGCCACCATGGCGAGTCCGTCCCTAACTCAGTGGCACGGCAAGCTCCCGAAAGACACGGGAGTAAGCGCTGCGTCCAAGGTATAGGCCACACCGGGCATCATTTCTGGAAGAGGAAGGACAGGTGCAGATGGCAGATGGATGCGCATTGAAGTTAGTGGCTTTTTTCGCTGCCCACATGAAGGAATACTTCGTTGGGTTGATGATGGAGACAATAGACATCCCGGTTTCGGTGATCGTGAAAGCTTACGACGAGGTGGGCGACATGAAGTATGTGATATTTTCTCAATCCTAAACCCTCCTCGTGTCACATCGAGAAGTCGAGAAGAGTACCAAGTAAATCCGAAACCCTGGATTCCCTAAAACCCTAAACCCTTAAACCTTAAACCCTACCCAACCACCCTTCAACCCAGCTCTGCGACCAGCTTGCAGTCTCTTCACGGCTCCAAGGCCACGAAAGATCCTCCAGGAGTTGGCCAGGACAGGGCCGGGGGAAAAAAGCGAGGGCACACAATTCTATATGTGTGTGTGTGTGTGTGCTAAAAAATATGTGTGTATACATGCGTATATAAATATACACATGTATATATATATATATATATATGTATATGTGTGTGACCTGCCATGCAGTGTCAGCTCGCCCGACGGTGCCAAGTGGGAGCCAAATATATATATATATATATATATTTATATACATATATATATATATATCTATTTATATACATATTCTTATACTCTATTCGGTTATATTGTATTGTATTGTATTGTATTGTATTGTATAGTGTTATATTTTATCCTATATTCTATTCTGCTATATTGTATTGCATTGTATCATATTACATTAAATTTTTTACATGATATACATGACATACGTTACATACATTATAATGTGCATGGTCGCATATGTTATCTACATATGAACATGTGACTAGATAAATAGAAAAATATAAATAGGTAAATAAAATAATAAATAATATATATATACATACATGTATATATATATATATATACGTATACATTTACAGTTTATGTTTGCTGTAGAAAATAAACACACAAAATAGTAAACACGTAACCCGAGATAGATATATACACACCTGTATATATATATATATGTATATAATATATATATATATATACAAATATCTATATATCTGTGTGTCTACATGTATATGTATATGTATAAGCACATCCGTCTTCATGTACCATGCGCATATACACAGACACGTACCGACACAAAACGAACAACATATGAGGCAGACGTGTGCAGATGTATGGATGCCTGCATGCGTACATGCATGCATGCATGCATGCATGCATGCGTTCCCACATACACATGTATGCGCGCACACGCACACATACATACATACATACATACATACATACATGCATACATACATACATACATACATACTTAGCTAGTTAGTTAGTTAGTTAGTTAGTTAGCTACTTACTTATTTACTTACTTACTTACTTACTTACTTACTTACTTACTTAGATACTTACATACGTACATACATACGTAAAAGCATATACTACATGCACATGTCATGTATGCATGTATTCATATGTGCATGTATGCATGTATGCATGCATAGATGACTAGGCAAGCTGGCAAGAGCACCAACACATAAAGATATCTGTTGGTCTGTCTGTCTGTCTGTCGGTCGATCGGTGTGTCTGTCTGTCTGCTTTACCCATCTATATCCAAAGACCAAGTATATTTCCATCCATCTGTCCACGCATCTAAGTGCCTATCCATCTATTTACCGACACTCTTAGGACAGAGGGAGAGGTAGACACGTAAAGGTCTGCATATCATACAGGTGGGTTTGGCTTTCATGGGAGCTCGGCGTCTGCAGGCCATCCTCGTGGACAGGTGTACAGAGGCCCGTGCGCTTGACATCACAGAGGAGCTCGAAGAGTAGCTCGCCTGCGGCATTCGCTTAGAGTTTTGCGCAAGTGTTTAGGGTCCATACTTGTTCCCATCAAGAGCAGCTCGTCGTAAAAACTTCTTTTCACGATGCTGGCAAGACGAGGTACGGGATCATGTGCTTGGCAGAGGAGGTTCCGGATGAAGAGCTGATGGACCCGGCCATGCATTGAGGCACATTGAGGCCCAGCCGTGCCTTGCATTCCAAGGGAGACTGTCGCTTATTCACTAAGTCTTGAAGTTTGGATGGCAGGTAGGACCAGGTAGTGGAGAAGTTTGCCTTCGTGCATTAGGTTTTTCCGGTGCTCGGCACAGCCCAGGTTTGAAGAGCAAGCAGATGTCACCAGCATCGCTTGGTCGGTTGAGAGCCGGCCTGGTTTTAGAAGACCGTTTCCTGGTTTTTGTGGAGGCATTGCCTTAGGCGGAAGCCGTGCTCAGTGCGAGCCGGTAAGATAGCGAACAGCCGCCACGTTTCAGGGAAGCTTTCTGAGGAAGCCACCCTAACATCGTACCAACAGACCTGCCGCGCAAAGGAGCCAGGAAAGATGAGGGCAGTCGGTGCGTGTCTAGGGCTGACGCGGGGGTGTTACACGCACTGATCTTTGTCGGGGAACTTCGTAGGCCGTAGACACTTCTTGTCTCATGTTATGCAAGCCTCACCGCGGCAGACGGCGTGTTCGCTGTCGTGTTGAGAGACCGAAGCCTTCTGCAGCCCCTGCAGAAGGGCCGTTTTCGTTTTCCGCTAGCACTCGATCTTCCTGTCTTTGTGCTGCACGTGATCCTCTCTGGGAGGTGCTGGCCGAGTGGCCAGGCTCCCGAGGGGCGCAAGCGGAAGAGACGAAGGGTGGAGAAGGCGGAGGCCATGCGCTGAGTTGCGACAGAAATGCCATGAAATGCCCTTGCGAGCCAGGTCCCCGAAGCGTTGCCCCAGGCGGCCGACGAGGCAGCTCCAAAGAGTCCGAAAAAGCGCGGTGATCTCTGAATTTGTAGCCGGCAGGTGCAGCTGCCGGACGAGGCTTGGCCCCAGGCCCCCCGCAGCACGGGGCGTCTGCATGTCGCTCGGACAGGACAAGCCGTTGGCCGAATCCGTGGCTGCGCCGGAGGCCAAAGAGGAAGACGAGGAGTCTCGAACTACGGTAGCGAATGAGAACTGCCGGGGAGCTCGCAATCTCCCTTTTGAATCTCACAGGACCTTCCTTTGGAGGAGCTGGCGAAGAGCGAAGGTAGCGGTGAGGCCGAGACGGTCGAGCCCGTCGCCGAGCAGGTGCCTGGCTCAGGAGCTTCAGCTCACAGACAATTCTGAACAAAGCAAAGGGCAAATGCTGCGATGTTCATGCGACCGCAGGGCGGTAGCATGGAAGTCGACACGGCAGCAGCCGAGGACTTGCGGTTGCATGTTGAGTCTGGCACCTTTTGCACGGCATAGTAGGCCCTTGTCTGTAGTCTGCCTTGCCGTGTCTAATCCGTTGCGGCCCACAGCTGACTGCGCCCCAATCCTTTGGTATCTTCTGCGAGACAGAGCTCCAGGCGGGCATCACGAGTGTCCTTGCAGGAGTTGGGCAAGGTGGCATGATCTGACATGATCTGTGTACCGCCAGTTCTCTGGCAGACATGCTCGACCTGATCACCCTCGTCTCGGCAGTTGGCCTGCAGAAGGAACCGCCAAAACCGTACCGTGGCCGCACTGTGAAACCTGATCGAGTGCGGCAGGAGCTGACAAACACAAAGCACGGCGAGCCGATCATCCGTGAGGCTCGCGGCTGGCCTGTTCGGGTCCGTCAAGGATGGACCTTTTGAATTGCCTATCCCCTTCGTCTTTCTTCTGCAACACGCAGCTCCAAGCAAGCCATAGACAGCACATGCACTGACATGCACTGACATGCACTGATCAGCAGGGTCACTTGGGCCTGGGCCAGGATAACACCGACTTCGTGGCCTCTGCTGCGGAGTCGCTGTCTGTGGCCTTTGACCGCTTCGAGGGCGTTCTTGCACAGGCATTATGTCTCAGGTTTCACTCTGGAGACGCTGCAGTTTCAGATGCTCGGCTGATGCTACCATATAAGCCGGCAGGGAGTTGCTCTTGTCCTCCCTGCGGATAAGCCCGCAACGCCACCAAAGAAGGCGCAGTTGTCTGTCATCTTCGTGACTGGTGCAGATTTGTGTTGTGCTTTGCTTCTTTTTGTCTGACTTGCTGGTCTACGAGATTCTGCGAAGGCTTGAAGCGTGAGCCGTGGGGGGCCTCGCAGCCACGGCCGTGGCAGTAAGGCGCTGGAAATCTGGAACCTAGACTGCCACTGTGTCCCAGAGCGGTCACTGCAGCGAATTCAATTTGCACGTGGTTCGGTCGTGATCGTCCTGTGTTCCTCAACAGTTCTAGCTGCAAGCCGGCCTCCGCTAGGTTGGACAGAATTGGACAGGGAAAGTCCGGCTCGAACCCTTGCAGAAACAAGGTTTGACTCCATCGCTTCCGGGACCATTGCTTTGACATGGCCCTGCGATCATTCCCAGCGCCATCCAGCGAAAAGAAGCATCCGGCTGTGCTGTGGACCTAGGGCCTAGGGTGCCTAGAAGAGCAAGATCAAACAGGAAGGGGCAAGCAACAACACGTCGTGCCAGAACATAGGCTACAGGCCGTCTTCGTGCACAACATGATACAGGAATGAGGTGATTAGATGTCAATGTGTGCTTCACATGGTGTTGTCGTTCTGCACAGCCACAGCGACGTGGACCACACAACATGCAGTATGTCAAGAACGAGAAGGCAAGTGCGAAGCTGTGCAGTGCACGGAGGACGACGACAGCTCTGTGGAGCAGTCGGTTACTGTGCGTCGGGGGCCACGACTTTGAATTGACTCGGAGACTACGCACCAAGATCTGTCATCATGTGTGCATCCGCCTGACCGGGTTTTACCGCTCCTTCCCGAGGCTTGCCTGTCACACGAGTCGGTGGGGAGGAAGAGGACGTGCACTGCAGACCTTTCCCCTGCTGGCCACCGTTTGCAATGCGAAGCCATGGTATGGAAGCATCTTTCTTATTCTGCGACGGTATTTTGCAGGAAGAGTTCTTGAAGAAGGCCGGAAGCCCGACTCGCGGTTTGGTATGTGTTGGTTTACCATGCCATGTTCTGTGTTGACTCTGTGTCGTGAATGTAGTGCCATCGCAGAATACCATCTAGCCATTCTCTGAGCAAATGCTTCGGCCACCCCTTGCATGGCTTCGGGGATGGGGTCTGCTCACTTCGGGCGGCCTGCTGGAGCTTGCCGATGGAGAGAGGCAAGGCACTAGGCTGCAGGCGCCCGAAGACACCTTGCATCGTAAGCTCCAGAAACCAAGACTAATCGAGAGCAGCTATGTGAGGCTGCCATTTCCCAGATGGAGTCCGCTCGCCTTCAGGCTGCCCAGAAATGGTTGTTCAGTGCCTCTCTCTGTTCCGGCTTTTGCTGTTGACTCGAAGTCTGTTGGATTGGAGTTCAAGCATCTTCGAGACTGAGCTGTCGTAGTGCTACATTCAGCGGCAAGGAGAAGGGCAAGGGCAAAGGCTACGGCAAGGGCCACGGCAAGTCCCAAAAAGGCGGCAAGGCCATGGGGGAGCCTGCTGTGACTTAACTGCATGCTGGGTCTCCCCGGGTGAAGGACGGAAAGGGCAAGAGCAAGGCACTGACTGTGGCTCGCTGAAGTAGCAAACAGCTTTCGGCCTTTAGGCTTAATGGTGCAGTGGACTCGTAGCAGGATGGCAAGGGAAAATCCGGCAAAGGCAAAGCAGGAAAAGGTGCCGTTAGCTTGTTCTTCCCTTCAGTTTTCTTGGCTCTGGCTTTCGGAGCAAAGTGCCTCTGCTCGGTGTCCGCTGCCAGGCAAGGGGCGGAAAGGTGGCAAACACTGAGCCGATGCAGTCTGCTCCCCCTGCAGCGGAATCCTGCGCCGGCAAAATCGATCCCTTCGTCGCCCGTGCAAATGCTGAGCTGAGTCTCGGCCTCACTTCGCTCGTGAGAAAGCACTGGCCTCAAGGCTCCTGTATTTCCTGTGTGACATGGAGCAGAGACAGTTGACTTAGCGGATGTTAGCAGCAATTAGCACTGCAATTCCCAATCTCCGGGTCAGAAGCGAGCAATGAGCAAAGCACTTCGCAGTTGTAGTCGTTTGGAGCACAACTCGCGCCATTCAGTGTAGGTTCCTCGGCACAGCCATGGAGTCGGCAGGCCGGCTTCACATGGAGGTTAGGTCCACTTTGGTACGAAGGTTTCATGGATCAGACTCAGTTGTTGCTTGCCAGTCTTACCTCAAGGAACATGTGGGTAAACGTCTGTTCTGTGCAGTCTTGATGCTGAGTTGAGATAGCAGCCGGTAGCGTTTTGGGCTGTGGTGTTCGTTGTGACTTTCAGCTTCGAGCCATAACACCTGGGTAAGTAGGGACAGGTTTTGTGCACAGTCCACGGAAGCTGTGGAAAAGAGGGAGATGCTCTGTCCTGAGGTGCTGGAGATGTGGACTTCAGAGCGGTGCTGATTCCCGTGATCTCCCGTGCGGACGCACACGAGCTCGCGAAAGTGCAGACCGCCTGCAGAATGTGGCGGGAGGTGGGCCTGCGAGATGTCGTAGGCACAGGCAGAGCTTCCATGCCAGCAAGGCCGATGTGCTGGTGCAAGGCCGCTGGATGCAGCTTCTGCTTAGAGACTTCCTCCAGGAGTTGCAGATGGGCTTTGCTGAAGGGGGAAGCTGCAGTAAACCCTCCGCCATGTACTCGTCACTCGTCCTCCTTCCAATGGTCGAGAACAGGCCGAGCGATCAACATCCGTGCTCAAGTACCTACAACTTCCGAACCTACCAAACCTCTGATAGTCCTGATCGCCAAAGGGCATCATTCAATCTCCACTGTCTGTCAGTAGATCCGTAGCTTTACATTGCAATTATTTTCGTGTTTTGTGTCTTTCGTCATGAGTCTTGCTGAAGTCGGGGTATCTGATACTGATGTTGTCGCTTGTCGGGTTGAAGGCTCCATGGAAAGCGATGCCTGCGATCTTGTGGGTCTTTCGTATGTCTGAGCTGCGGTAATCCACGTTCGACTCCGGGAAGGCCAGCTGCTAATGAAACACGCTGCTGATCGTGATGCCTTTGACCTCGATGATGGTGACGACGTGGTGGTGGCAGTGTGGGTCGTGGTGGAGGCCTTGGCAATTTCGGCCACGGTGGAGGTCGGGTGGTGGTGATGGTGCGGGGGTCCTCGCCGACAGCATCCTTGTCGTTGTCGTCTTTTCGTGTCCGCCATCGTCGAAGCCCGAGCCAGGGCCGCGATAGGAACGGTCGCAATAGCAGCACAAGTCAAGTCAAGACACGCAGCAAGAAGCCCCACAACCAGTTTGGAAGCATCTAAGTCGCAACATGTACAGTTCACAAGTCTACAGTAAGCATGAAAGGGAGGTGAGACGCAGGAGGAGGAGGAGGAGGAGGAGCAATGAGATGGCAAGCAGTGAAGGAGGCGACTGTCGCAAGCTCGTGGAACCTATGCCAGGACTGGGGTGGTGCCTCGCGCTACCGAACCCTGGCACAGCCTCAGTGCCAGCGCTGCAAACGCCTTTTCTGGGCCCAGCGGCGGCGCCTCGGGTGGCACATTTCCTCGAATCGTAGGTAACCCTGCCAGAAAGGTCTCATGAAACAGCCCATGAGCAGCTCTGATGTTTGTCTTGAGTGGCATGTGACATTTCTGGATGCCCAGAATTATGTATGTTATGCTTGCGAGCAGAAAGCCCAATGCCGATGGCTCATGCTTGCCTCTCCAAAAGTAAGTTTTTGTTTTTCGCTTGTTTTGTCACGGGTTTCCGGATGTTTTCTGCCGCGATCGAGCAGGTGTTCGGGACACAGCGCTGAGAAAAGTCTCAAGTGCAACTCGTTTACACATCCGTTTTCCAGGTGGAGCGAGAAATTCTAGTGTAAATTCCAGCGACCTGCTACCGACAGTGAAGGCAGAGGTGGAGGTGACGCGGAGGGGGAGGAGGAGAGGAGGAAAAGTCACGCTTCCGATGGGTCGGTCGGCTTTTGATTTTTGAGCCGATTCAACAAGTCCGGTTCTGAGTCGGGCAAGCTGGTCTTACATGCAGCTCGAAGTCCACAGCCTTTTGGATTGACAGGGGTGCCTTTCGCCGGTGTCCCTGCGTGGCATGGCGGGATGCGAGGCACTGCAAGGGCTTCGAAGGCGTTCATGTCTAACGGTGCCTAAGGGTGGCATGGTGGGAAGAGTCTCCTTGCAGGCCATCGCTGACGATCGTGTCTTTGAACTTGGAGCGATGTGCAGACGGCAGTTTTTGCGAGCCTGGCCCTCGGACACTCGCCTCGCCGCCTCGCCGCCTCGCCGCCTCGCCGCCTCGCCGCCTCGCCGCCTCGCCGCCTCGCTTCGCCCAATGCGCTCCTTTGCTCTCAGGTGGTCCGGCTTCTCGGCCGCCAGAGCAGCCACTACGGCGCTCTTCCAGGTGCAGTTCCGATCTGTACCCGAGCTCTCCGACGCGGCCTTGGAGACGGCAGACATCGTCTTCCTGCACACGACCAGTGCAAAGAGGGCCTTAAGCGCTGCGGAGCAGGCCGAAAGTGGCAGAAGCACATCTGAGATTGGGATGAAATGACCGACTCCCAATCCAGAGCTAGGACCTAGTGACCTAGTGACTAGTGCTAGTCGATAGCACTCATGTTGGCAGGCGACGCTTTCGAGATTCTGCTCGCGGGGTGGCACGGCTGTGCTGAACTGCTTCAGCGCTTGGACCGTCAACGGCGGCACCCTGGACACAAAAGCAAGAAGCAGTGAAGACCATGTGCAGAATCGCAGAATTTCAATCAATTGGTTTTCAATTGGTTCTTTAGTGATCAGTGAATTCTCAGGATGGGGGAAGGAGTTGGTGAAGTTTCTGGGCATTTTCCCAGAGCCATCAGCGAAGTTTGGCGCGGGCTATGCCACCAAGCTTTCGACCGCCAAAGGACGCAAAAGCAAAATGCGACTCCCTCTTTCGAAACCTTTCATTGGTCCGACTCCAGGACTGGAAGACCTGTGCCTTGCGGGACCTTGGGGTGCACCGCACGCCTACCAGTCCTGGAGCTCCATCTTGAGAGCGATGCGGAGCGAAGCGGTGCTTTCGAACGACGAAGCGCGGTGCTTCATCAACCTGGGTGATCTTTGGCTCTTCAAGGTGTCTATAATCTTTCCGAGTCATGTCCCCTCCGCGCTGTACTCAGGAAACCAACTTCAACGCCTGGTTGCCCCTGGAGTCCGGGGATGCCATTCCGGTCTGCACCAGCGGCCTCCAGGAAAGCCCCCTGAGCCGAAAGACACCCCTCTGGTTTCCGAAGGTCAACGGCGCGGGCCAGGCAGGGCCATTGCCCAGCACAGTTATGACACCTGGTAGCAGCACTTAAGAATCATCATGACTTTGATAGAAGGACGTCCGTGGCAAGATCCGTTAGAAGGACGTCCGCGACAAGATCCGTAATATCCTTGTAGCCACATTTGGTGGCCTGTCATGTTCTGGTGCCACTACGTGCTTTCTTTCGCTCGTGGGCGCCAGAATTCCAGCATGTCTGATGGCCTCCTGCCGTGAAGCTTTGGGAGGCCTTCCTGTGCTCGAACCTCCACTGGCTGGCAGATCCTCAAGCTTGGCATGGAGGGCTGATCCGCTCTGAGGGCAATGTCATTCTCTGGCTTAACATCTGTGCAGCTCGACAGCTTATCATGCTTATCCCAGAGAATCATCTTACCTTGATTCCAGGGGTTGCTTTGTCCTTCACTTCAAGGGGGTTGCCAATTAAGGCGTAGTCTGTTTCAACAGGCATCTGCGTGCCGAGCTCTCTGACCTCGGTGAAGCTCTGGACGGCTCCTTGGTTCATTCTTTCAAATTTTTCTGGAGCCGTTTTTGGCATGATTCTGGTGATCCTGGGTGACCATGTGGGAGAAGGCAGATGATGCCTTCGTTCCCACGTCTCTTGTACAGGACCCCAGCTGTCGATATCAGTGAACTTTGGCCGAGTCTGCTAGCCGTGAACTGCTGTGACTGTTCCGCATGCGCACAGCACATCCGTGTGGACTCCGAAGGACCGCAGATTGTGGCTGCTTGACCATGAGTCTGCGCGTCAAGAGAGACTCGAAGAACTGAGCTAAAATCACCCTGGCGCGCCTGTTCTACAGCAGACGGTCCGGGCAGGGCCCCGACCGTAATTTTTTCGCAACTTGTCACGTGCCGAGTGCCCCACCAGCAGTCATGTTTGTCTTTGTCTGAATCTAGTGAATCTACTGAGACACTGGGGCCGTTTAGGTAAAGTGAATACGCCTCCGCTTCCAAGCAAGATGCGAGACACCTTGAAGTTACGCGGGCGACCGGAGTGAAGAAACTGGAAGCCCAGAATTTTAGGTCGCATGCCCAGGCACCTACGTCTGGAGGGCGAGAGGTGGGACAAGCCCTCTGTTCCTGTAGAGGTCTTGGCTTCTGCCGAGAACGTCCTGGGCGTTGGGGAATGGGCTGAGTGCAAAACAGAGCAATCGTATATGTGTATTCAACTTTGTGGCTGTTGCTTTCGTTCTTGGTGGTTTGTTTTGGTCAAGATTTAACACAACCGAGTTCCAGTCAGTCCATGGCGGCTAGACTTGCGCACAGCCTGTTCCCGTGCATGGCTTTGAGTTTTAGACAAGTCCAGACTCCCCCTCCCTGATCGGGAATGTGCACGCTGCAAGAGCTCTGTCGTATTTTCTTCACAGCCCACAGCCTAGTCTAGAAGGTCCCTGGAGTTTCGTTGTCGATCACGGGGCTCCTCCGCTTAGATCGTTCGGCGAAGATGCTCTGCCTGAAGGGCCCTTCCATCGGCGCAAGGTCGCCGCATGCCAGATTTGAATGCAGGGGCCCTTCAGGAGCTCTCCACTCTCCCACATTCTATTGGGGTTTCGAGTGTTCAAGGATACCCGCTGCAAGCCTGTGACCCGTTGAGGAAAGAGCTTCGGCCCTTACTCGAAACCCTCCTCTCGTTTCACTCCAGTCGCGATTTAGACTTCTAGAATGCCCCAGACGTCTCCCAGTTCCAGAAGCAAGGACGTACAGCTTACTGCTTGGCAGATCGTTTGCAAGACAGCGCAGCCCTGGACTTCGGCACTCTGTGTGCTTTCGCCCAGCCAAGCTATTTCAGCATTTAGCTGCAGCTTTACCACATAGCCTGAGCCAAAGAAAACTCCCGTATCATCTAGAAGCAACTCGGTGAAATGCTGGATGCTTTGCAACCAGCGCCGCAATGGGGCGCCAATGGCAGACCTCCCTGGCAGGCCTACTGACCTTCGGATGTGTCGGCTGTGTGGCTCTGGCTTCCCTTGCTCATCCTGCTGTGCTTACTACTGGCGCTTCTCTGAGCCTGTGCTTCGACACCTCTGCAGTTGGGCCTTTCGCCGGCAAGTCAGGCGCTCTGCACACTGCCGCGGCAGTCGTGCTCTCGCCAGCTGGCTGGTGTGCCAGAGGCTCGGGGGAGACAGAGCAGGCTTTGTGCCTTGGACAGCAAGTGATGAAGGGAAGCTGCGGGAGAGGCCAGGTGTTTGCTGAATGCCGGGTCTCTCTTCGAACATGCGCAGGCGTAGTTCATTGGCCTGAATCTAGGTTTTGCCAGCGGGAAAAGAGCGGCTCATTGGCCTGAATCTAGGTTTTGCCAGCGGGAAAAGAGCGGCTCATGCCTTGCACTGAGTCGTGAGTCGTGTTGGCACACATTTCCAGCGAGGCTGAGTCGGTGCTGCCGTCCTGGCAGCGAAAACTGCGCCCTGGCGGCTGTAGTGGCAGTGGGATCGGGGTCTAGTCAAGTTGCGAGTTTCCACCGAAACAAGCAGGTCGGATCAAGCTCTGCAGCACTGCAGCTTGTTGGCATGAGGTTTTGACATTGCCGATGCCATTGGTGGGAAATGCTGCCGGCAGGACATTGATGGTGGCTTCTATGGTTTTCTTATTCCGCCACGATCATTCTCTTTGAGTCTTTTCGTGCATCGTAAATCGGCGACTGCAGCATGTCACAGCATGAATGATGAGCCACCTCTTTGCTGAGGAACGGGGTTCCACATGAGCTTGACAGCTGCAGTGTCTCCGAATGCCTCTTCTCGCTGAAGACCTTCCGCACCCTTAGCGACGACCCTGCGGAAGCCGCGTCCGATTCCCGGCAGCGCTTTTGGTTGCATCCACTTGAGTCCACTTGCTTGTCCCAAGCTGTCTTAGGAGCTGCTGCAGATGGGCCTCCTCAGCCCAGAGTGGCGGCCGGATTTGCCATTCCTAGGCTGGTTTGGGGGCAACTGGCAGTTCGTCTTTTCCGTAAAGACCTCATATGAATCTTTCCTACAAGAGCAAGCACGGTCTAGCAGACACCTGATGTCATTCTCAGTTTGTGGCAGAGATCCCTTTGAGATGTTGATCCACGTGTCCTCCAACCCTGCGAGGCCCGACGAGCCCCATTCTCGTGGATATGGTTCGCGTGAACGGCCCAAGGGACGACCCACCCATTTTCTATCACCGCTTCTTTCATGACCACGCAGAGGCAGAGGAACTTTCGAAGTAGCGTCGAAAATTGCAGCCATGTTTTAGCCAACATGCCCTCCCAAACACTGAGCGGGCATGCGAGACCCCGAGGTGGTGCCGCAAGCTCTCTGGGAGTATTCCCACTACATCAGCCAGAGGCTTGATCCGGTTTGCCAGTCGCATCCAGTCGCATGAGCCGCCGGAACCATGGGCTATGAGTTGTGAGGAGTTGTAACTGCTAGTGTAAATTCTGAGAGGCAGGTACCAGCAATCAGAAGCCAAGAGCCACCAATCCCATAAGCCTTGAACAAGAATCAAGACTTCTCTTCGTCCCGAAGCGGGCGCCTCCAAAGAGTGGAACTAAAAGCTTCGACCCTAAATCCGATGGTTTTTTATCAGGCCTCTTCTGCACCTTCAGTCCGCTTCATGCGCTGGCTTCGGGGGTTTTCTTCGTGTTATTTCCGGCCCCACTCAGCGTCGGGATCCACTATTGTTCAAACTGTGTCCCTGAGCTGCAGCCCACAAACAGTTGCGCAGCTGGCTGCTTCGACTGTTGCGATGATTTGTCGCGTCCGCTGCGTGTAAAATTAGTTACAAGCTGCTTTCGCCTTTTCGGCTGCAAAGGAAAGCAAGCGCCACGCGGGAGCAGAGAAGCGTAGAAGCGAAGCTGGGAATGCCACTGCCATGGGACAACCGGCACCGTCGTGAAAAGATCTCATCGGGCCGCGGCTGCGGGCGGGGCCGCGGCAGGATGCGACCATTATGGCACCATCTGAGCTTGTGCCGTTCAATGAAAAACAGCAGTATGTGCAGTGGAGGATTCGGCAAGCGGTTCTCGAGGATCCTCCTTTGACTTGTCGACTTCCCGGACACACTTGATCCGTATCGTCAAACTCCCTATTTCTGGGCTGCAGGGCACGCGGAGACGGGTGATGCCGCTCAATTGCTCGCCATGGAAATGGGGGCAGAAAGCCAGTCTCTGATGGAGAAATCAAATGAGAACCTCGTGGAAAGCCAAGAGTTTCTCAACAGCCGCGGTCGTGAGTGGGCACTCAAGCTTCTGTGTAAGCTATTTGTGCATAGTAGTTGCGCACTCTTAAAACGTTAGTTGCGTGTAATGTAATGTTTCGGGGCTACGGCGCGTCTGAAGCGCCCGGGGCAGTAGTTCCTTGCGGTGATCAACGCGATCTTGACCAACATCAGCAGCCAGCTGTACAAAGATTTGGTTCTAAACGCCTTGTCAACGTGCCAGTGGAAGATAAGGAGATACATGTGAAGTGCATTGAAGGGTCAGCAAGCGCATCGTCCCATTCCGCCTTCACAAGGGATGCTACATGAAGGCAGGCTTCGTCCGGTGTCATCCCGGCCGAATCTGCAAGTTGACAGTCTGCAAAGGACCAACCCCCTGCCAGTTCAGGATGGAAGGGGCTGCGCCCGACACAAGGCCTTCGAGGACAGCGAAATTGGAGCCACAGGGCCAGGGATCCTTTCCAGCATGTTGGAGTGGTGGACATGCCACAGACACTCACTGATATCGCGCAAAGCCGTACGTAGCGGAAGCGGCGCGCTTAAAAAATGGTGACGAGCACAGCACACTGCAAGAGGACTTTGTGCGAAAGCACACGGTGACCTGACCAAGAGCTGCAAGCCACGATGGCAACTTTGCCCTCGTGGGTTGCAGCTCTTGGTGACGTCGGCGCCTCGCCACAGAGGCCAATGTCACACAGAACGCCAGCATCAACATCGGTGGCTGCAGTCTGCTATCGATGCCCCATAGGCTATAGGATTCTATAGTATAGGGTAAACTAGTAAACAAACGTTTCAAAGTTTTTTATTGCATTGAGCAACGCAGCACACAAGGAGCACTGCATCATTCGCTTACGCTCACCGGCATCAGCTCGCAAGCGCAATCCACTGCTACTCCAAGCCATGTGATGATGTGGTTTGTCCAAAGCTCCATGCTGGGTGCACCGATTGTCAGCATGCAAACTGGCCTGTCCTGCAGTTTCACCAGCCAGGGGCTGCCAGCCTAAGTGTGCCCTCGCATTCTGGGAGCTGGGAAAAAACCTGCCCGTTGCCTTCTGGATCGAACCGTTCTGCAAGCTGTTTTGGGGGAGTGCAGTAGATGAAACGTGAATCTTGTGGATCCCACACTCTCGCCATCTTTGACATGCGAAGCTCTGCCAGTTCTTCTTTCGCCGCGGCGCTTGCTGCTCGCCGCAGTGGAGGAGCACCTTGTGAGCAGCGCGAGGCGGCTTTGGAGGCCTCTCTTTCGCTCTGCTACTGTAGAGGCCAAGTGCCAAGGCCGAGTTTCAGCAAACAAAACACCCTCTCAGCTTGAAGAGCCCCTGTAGTGCGAGGTAGCCATGGCCGACACCACAGCCTTGCCTTGGCTGGCTCAGAGGCACGCCGGTCGAAAGGCCAATGCCATTGTGTTTCGTCTCGGCGAGGTGGGTGCTGACGGGAAACTCGCATCTGGCCACTCCGTACAGAAACTAACAAAAGCTTCAATTCATTGTGGACCCGTGGACCCGATCTGATCATTTATGCTTGGCCGAGGACACCTTCGTCAACATCGGAGCTCGAGATGGTGTGCATGAAGATCCCTTGCACCCTCTGCTTTCGAACCCTGCGGACGTGCGCTTCGCTCTTGCTGTGGAGATGGACCTTGAGCTTCCAGTCTGCATGTAGCAGCGGCAGCGATGTTTGCACAGGCCTCGTGACGAAAAGCTGTGAGGTTCTGTGAACAACACGTGCGAAACCTGCCTCATGTGGAATTGCTCTGCATGAGAGCCACCAAAGCAACGGTCCCCGACATCGTCGCAAGACTGCCGGAGTGGCTGCGAGGGCAGAAGAGGTTAGCCGATGGGGTGGTGAACATTGATGAACTTTTGAATCGCAGGTGTGACAGCACGGTATGCCAGGCCTGCCGCGGATCTGTCATCCTTGCCTCGCCTGGACGTCCTCAAGGTGGACCTGGATGGTGCGGACTGCGATCTCGCAGCACTGTCAAAGCCTGAGAGCGACACCATGAGCAGCGATGATGTGTCATAAGACGATGAGGAATGGAGTTTCTTCTCCTGCGACCGCTGAGATCAGTTGAGGTTCCTGTGGAAAGTGCTGGCCAAGTTCGTTGTCATGGAGGATCCCATGTGAAACACAATCGACGGTTCTGTGTGCACATCATCGTGTTCCCTTGGTACACATAGACGAGTTCTGCGAGGGTGTTATCCAGCAGCGGTGTCGCAAGAAAAGTGTTGCGACATGCGTTCCCCGTTTTCTGCGCCCGCTGCTCAGCTTCGAGGGCCGTCAGATCGGTCGTTGTCATGGAGGTGTGCGACGCTGTGCCACCGCCGCTGCGCTTCAACCTCCATGACGACGAGCGGCTCGTGTGGCCTCCAAAAGCTCCCTGGGGCTGCTCTCTGAGCTACCAGGCAGGGAGGGTCAGGCCATGTTTCGATGCGGATGGCAATGTCGTCCCAGGTCCAGCTGATGAAGCAGTTTGACCTGCAACTGGTCTGGTATGGCGCGGGGAATGCGATCTTCGCTCATCGTCTTGCTGCGCATCTGCTAGGACTGCTCGGTAGCGCGATAGCAGTCAAGTGGCCAGCCTGTTCGGCATTTCGCTGCCGGTCTGTGACTGCCTGTCGGCAGGATTGCCAAGCCCTTTAGACGAGGTGGACTGCTATGCTAAATCCGTGCTGATGACAATGTGGCCTAGTGGTCGCACGCTGCGCCGGTGGTTTTACGAGGAGACTTGCTCCTGTTCAGTTCCTGATGTCTGTGATCTGCCAGTTTGTGAACAGGACAGCCTCAACGACACCTTTATTGAAGTCCGGGCAGCCTTGACCAAACGCCTTGGCAATTTGCCTTTCACATTGGAGATGTGATGGGAGATGGAAGCCAGCAGTCAACTTTGGAACCTGTTCCTCCCCGGACATAGTCTGCGAGAATGCTTCTGGCTTCGCCACTTCGCAGATGACGAAGTCCAGCTGTGCAGGAAAGGGCAAACTCCAGCACCAAGAACATCCCGGCTGATGTGGCTCAACTCCAGACGAAGTTGTTCTGCGCTTCCACCGTCTTGAACCGGAGATATCCTGCTGACAGATCGGGGCATTGCGGTGCGGACAGCATGCCAGAAGCTCGCGCGGTTCGATGCTTCAGATGCTTTACTGGATGCTTTGTCACTCGCTCCCTCTCACTCTTTGTCTCTTCTCGGCACTCGACATGTATATCTGTGGTTGTCCGGGCTGAGGTTTGCTGACAATCAGATGAAGTCTTGATGTGTCCGTTGGTTTACCAGCTTATCATGTAGGTGTAGACAATGGCCGGCGGCCGAAGCATGTGAGACGAAGTCGCCAGTAAGCCGCTTTCAGGCCGCAGTGATCAGGATCGCAAGTGCTACTAAGTCGATGTCCCAATTCGGGTCTTGCCCGCTAGCAGCACGAACACCAGATGCAAGAGCCCGCTTGGACTCTCACCTCGTAGTGACGCCCACTCGCAGTGTCGCCCCCTCCCCACCCTGTTTCCTTGTCTGAGCTGTGCCGAGCGCATGGGTGGCTGTTCTCAGACTTGAGTCCGCCGGGCAGTCTGCCGGGCAGTCCGCCGCTTGGATGCGCTTGAGCCATTCTGTGGCGCACAGCAAGGGTTCTTGAGCCGCTGAGGTGATTGGCGATGGGGAAAGGCGATGGCAAGTGGGGCAAGAAAGGCGATGGGCTTGGCGGGCCGGGCGGCCCTGGAGTGGGCCCCGGCGCAGCTGCCTGGAAGGGGCTTGCGAAATGGGGTGGCAAGGGAGACAAAAGTGAGAAGGGTAATTGGATTTCTCAGCCCGAGGATGGGCCGGAGTTGAAAAGGCCACGGATGGATGCCATGGGCCCTGAATTCTCCTTGAAAGGCAGGGATGGAGGGAAGGGCCTGGGCAAAGGCTTGGCTCCAGGCCTTGCCAAGGGCCAAATGGTGCCACCGGGCCTCGCCATGGGCACCATGCCGGGTGGCAAAGGCAGGTTGTCCGAAGCATCTTTTGTGACGTGCTGTCGCGCAAGCCCCAATCGCCTTCTTCCTGCTTCAGGTCTAGCTGGTCCTGGTGGGTCCTGGCCTCGCGAAGTTCTGCACGAAACTGCGACAGTGAGCAGTCTGGCCTGCAAGGTTGATGCCCGTGTTACCACCGGCTCCCTTGCTCTGATCTCAGGCCTCGGCCTCAGTCACATGCGAGACGAGTTGGCTGCACTTAGGCATACGGGCTTGCTCCCGCCTGGGCACACAGCACCAGCCATGGCCAAGGCACGAGGGCAGACGTGTAATGTTGCTGCTTCAATCGCCGAAGGCTTGCGGCCCGACCCAGACATGTCCAGAGCGCCGCTGTTCCCAACTGATCTGCCACTGCAGTCGGCGGCTGCGGGCGCAGGGCCTCCAGGAAAGCTCGTGCGCCTCTGAAGGGCTGGAAAAACTTGTTCAGGCATGGGCAAGTCACGCTAGAGGTCGTGTAGGATGTTTCACCAGTCAGACGGTTCAGTATGTGCTTGGCCATGGACTCAGTGTCGTGGATTTCAGGTCCTCCTAGCCCCTGCCACGAAGCACATCACGCCACCGGCCAAGAGACTACAGCTTGTTGGCTGTTGCGGCCCCTCCGAATGTGCGTGGACCAGAATTCCGTTGTGGACGATTGGGGTGAAGTGACACAAGGGTCGTGTGCGAGTGCCTGCGGAGTGCTCTTTCAGCGGTATGCTGTGCCACACAGCACTTGTTGTGGCTGCATCGCTTCATAAGGCCGGTCTCCAGTAAAACGGCGTCCACCAACAACAAGAAGATTGCCATGGAGCTGCTTGCATGCGGTGGAACAGTAGCTATCACAAAGTCCTTGTTGTGGTTTTCTGGGTCGCGTGGTTGAGCTGGCCTTTCAAGCTCAGGTTTGTGCACGCTTCGAAGGACGTCCAAGCGCAAATGCTTAAGGACCCCACCGTGGCCAGAGCCACACCCCCAGGAACCACAGAAGGCTCTTGCATCGGGTGACCGATGGACTGCCCACATGTAAAGACAGGGACGGCCCGATAACACCTGCATGGGGTTGCATTGAGATTGGCGAGGGTAGACCCCCTGCTGACTCATTGGGCTGACAAGCTTCCTAGCTTCCTGGCATGCCACTCATGCGGTTGGTGGGAGAAGATTCCCGCTTGTTAGTTTGTAAGTACCCATAGTACGCCTGACCTTTTCAGGGTGAAGCACGATTGACCAGAGCCTCCTCAGTAGATCTCGGTAGACTTGGGCCATGGAGCAAGCAATCCACGGAGTGCGCGAGCAGTACAGCCTGCTGGCCAGCATGGTCCGCAGACAGGAGCTCTTTGTGCCCATGCTGGGCATCTGGGTGGCCTCGTTTGGTGGGGCGCTCCATGCACCTGTCACCACCTACTTTCAAGTTGAAGTCGGTGCTTCTACCGTCGCCAGACCTCTTTTCCCGTCAGACTGTGTCATGATTGATAGGTGTACGAGACTAGCACCAGAGGTTGAACGTTGATCTTGAGTTGTCTACCGAGGCACAAATAGGAAATTTCGGCATCATTCGCACTGCTGGTGTTCTGCTCGTGTCTCCGCTGTACGGTTGGCTGCTGGACAGACGATCGGCTTATCTGCCAGCTGTGCTCTCGGCCTTTTGCTGCACTTTTGGCTGCCTGATGCATGGCTTTGCACCTGACGTTGCTGGTCTCTATTTCGCCAGTGTCGTCTTAGCCTTGGGTGCCGTCAACTTCTGGAATGTTGTTGGGGCATATGTCGCATTGGCAACACCGCGGGAACAGCGACATGTCGTCGTCACGGGCTTCCAAGCGACCTCGACGTCTTGCTAGAATGATGTTGGTTAGGTAGTGCAGCGGTGCAGGGGTATTTCATGTGGTTGAGGTGAAGACCACAGGTTAGCAGACATTCAATCTTGAGGTGCAGGTGGCAACCCTGAGACTCATCGGCACCTCGCTCTACCCTGCGGTGGACTCACTCCTCAAAGCTGTGGGAATTGAGCAGAAGCTGCTGCGGTACAGGAGTTGGTCTACCAGGGTTAAAGACTGCAGTCGAGTCGCATCAGATTGCTCAAGTGCTGGGAATCACTGTAACAAGTGTAGTATCACATGAGGATCCACATGAGCGAGTGCAGCATCTTTTGCGTGTTCGCCTTCGTGTATCTGGTGGTTCGGTTTCAGCCCGCAGCATGGGTCGAGGACGGGGTTCAAAGTGCGCTTGCAGAGAGTATGCTGCTCCTGATCAGCAGCAAGAGCCGATGCAAACCAGCTACCGAGATGAGAGTCGCACATTAGGAGCTCGCAACTATCTGCCAATGCAGGATGAGGACAGAACGGGCGAATCCAAGAAAGCGGAGCAGCCTGTGAAGTATTCACAGATCATGCTTCTCCTGGTCACCAGCGTCATCCAGACCTTCGGTGAGACCGTCAACTGCCGTGATAAGTGATTGGGAACATGTTCGTAATAAGTGTAGAACCCCTGGCTCCGGCAGCCGACGTTTTACTTCGCTCACCCCCGATAACCTTGAAGAATCTTGGTTGGCAAATGCAGGTCATTACCGTGCTCTGGCCGCTTCACATACGCAAGCTGGGGTTGGGTTCTCATGACTACGCCTGGCTCCAACTACTGTCACAGTTGTTGATCATTCTGAGCACCCTCGGCTACCCTCCGCTGACACGGCTTCTGGGCCATCGAGCAACTGCCAGCTCTTTGCCAATGATTGCCAGTGCCACCTCTGCACTGGCTTTTCTGCAACCAGATGCTTCCCTTTACGGCCAGCTGGTGCACATCTCGAATGTCCTGACTTTTCTGGCAGTCTGCGGAACTATGAAGGTGTGCTACCAGCACTTGACGACACTCGCTGTACCAGCTTCCCAGCAGGGGCGTGTCTTCTCCTTGCTGAATGTCTTGGGGTCTGTTGGAAACATTGCTGGAAACCTTGTTGCAACACGCTTTTCCGAGCACGAGACGTCCTTCACCTCAAAAGGTGCCACTCCCTTTCTGGTTACCTCCTCCCTGTCTCTCGGATGGATTTAGATCATTTAGATGCGTCTTGGCTTCAAGATTGAAGATTGATGAGGGGATTCAAATGGCCTGTTTGGCGAGGCTCTCGAGTTTCGGTATGAGCTCGCATTAAGCCCACACGTTGAAGCAGAGGTTCTGCACCGTTGGTTGCGCCATCGTCGGCGTATTGTGCGCGCCGATCGAGGACGGCATCAGCAAGAAAGCGACAGTGCATGCCGATGATGGCCATCAACACCAGTGACGGGTAGTTGTGTGGCCGAGTTTTTCTGGCTTTGAGGCAGGGAGAACCGACCAGTGAGGTTTTCGGAGCTTCAGGACACGCGTGCTAAGCGTGCAGTGAGAGTAGGCTTTGCAGTTTCTTCCCCGCAAGAGGGTAGCTGTAGGCTCAACGAGACATTGGGGGTATGGGTTCTAAATTGAGGATTGATTGATGCATCTCCGTTCGACCTTGCCGGAGCTATCCGGGGCTCTAGCCAAAGACCAAGCAGAGCCTCGCCTCTTGTCGTGCGGCGTGTCAAATCAGGGCCAAAGCAGCCAGACTACTCCGAAGTGGTAAGACCGTGCGTACCATCTATCCATAATTAGGCCACATTTCCCGATCCGACTGAGCACCTGGTCATCACACCCAAACGCCTGCATGTTGTCTTTCATCTTGTTCTCGGAAGTTGCTCCAGCCACAGTTGACCTTCTCGCAGAAGGAAAGGTCGCCGAGTAGGTTATAGCAACTTGTAGCAGAATGAATATATGAAGTAGACACTGTTTTAAGTTATAATGCATGAAGTATAGTATATACATACACACACACACACACACATATATATATATATACAGATATAGAGTTAGTACAATGTATAATATTCGGTGGTAGTAGATCATAGCATTTTATCGTATATTATAGCATACTAGAGTATGTCATAGTGTTTAGAAGTATAGTATTTCAATTCCGTCGTAAGTCTCGGCTCAGCACGGGTTAATAACAACAGCATAGCTATTATAGTACAGCATATCATAGTGTAAAGCAGATCACATTGTATTATGTTATGTTAAAAAGTATAGTATATCTTGTATAGTATTATTGGCATGATTGCTTGAGGCCATTCTCCAAACTCTCGCCGAGTCGCCGGGCACCGCTCCGGGCATGGCAGTGCTCGGAAGCGGCCAGGGGCTTGTGAATTATACTGCAATACGCTATAAAATCTTTTTTTGCTACAGTGTACTCTACTATACGGCTACATACGAGGATATGTATCAATGTACTGTAGTGTAGTGTAATGTACTATAGTATGCTAGGTTATGCTAATGGACACGAGAAAGGAATCAAGACAGACAGAGCCAAGTGTTGAGATCGGACAGAGAAGTGATTCACCTCGGCCGGCATCCTTACTCTTACAGTTCTTGCACTCGGGGTAATTAGATGGTGTGATGCTCGTGGAAAGGGGGCCACTGCTTCGCCGGAACCGCATGTGCTGGGCGTGGTTGCCAGCTGAAAGCAGACTTAGATTTAGCCGAGTGGTGACTACAGAATGTTATGTGCAGAATGGCTGGCCGTATGCTAAGTGCAGAGCTAGAGATGGTTTTCGAGTTTTCTTGGTCGTTCTCGTCTGAGGCACTTTGCATAGCGCGGGTGTGGAGAATAAATCAGTGATGGCAGTGGTCGGATGTTGGATGATGCGAGGGCCGTTGCCTCCGCCCCCGCCAGCCTCCATGATGCCGCCGGGACAGGCAAGCGGGTGGCAAGTGGCAAAGTGTCTCTGCAGGTTTGCTCACCAACCGTTGTTTGAGTGTCAAGCGGACAAGCGCCAATTGCTCGTTGATAACTTGGTGCCGTGCATCGCAGGCCATGATGTCACCACTAGCGCAGGTGGGTGGCTCGGAGACGACGTGCTGCAACAAAAGGAGACAGGAGTAAGACTCCGAGGCCTCTGCTCCGGCCTGGACTGGCGTCATCACGCTGGCAGGGAGCCTAATCTCTAAGTCGCCCATGCGCCCTTCGCGGAGACCGCTCGGAGCAGTGCAGTGGGCACTGAGTGGGTCTCGGATCAGGCCCGGAATATGGCAAAGAAGACTCCCTTCAGGGCTGCCCTGATCCAGGGCAAGGTGGCAGATGTGGAGGCGGGTAGCACGTGCCAATTGTCGTGCATTTTAACTCTAGGACGGTTTGTGCCTCAGCGATCATTGCTTCACTCGTGCGCTGCAGTGTCCAATCCACGTTGAATCTGCGTGGCAAGCTTTGTGCCAGCCGATCACATGTTCGCGCGAGGCCAGTGTCCGAGTAGGTAAATTTTGGCTCCAAGCAGAATGGAAAGTTGGTCTGCATCCATATACATACGCACATACACACACACACACACATATATATATATATATATATATGTATGTAGATAGATAGATAGATAGATAGCGATGCAAACAGTCATCTTCGTCGTAATCATCATCATAGTGGTGCGTATGGCTGCAGCCAGACTAGTGATACTGTTGCTATTACTGCTACCACCACCACCACGACGACGACGACGACTACTACTACTACTACGACGACGACGACGACTACTACTACTACTACAACTACTACCACAACCACGACGACGACTACTACTGTACTACTACTAAGAACAATAAGAACAAGACATAATAACATTACTGATGACAAAAATAGAAATAGTAGCACTGATGAGAAGCCAAGCAGCGGCAAGAATGATACCAGCCATATGCGACCAAGCAGGAGTCGTAAGGCCGAGCCGCCTCTGTAGATAGAAGCCATGGGCTCGGTCTTCGGGACAGGTGCTGCGCGTTTGAAATGATGTCGAGGTGTTGGCCGTGACGAGGGTTCTATTGAGCCTGAAGAAGGACCAGTGCTTTCCCGGTGAGCGAGTAGTCGAGATAAATCGTCGTCGCGTTTCTTTCCACCTCTGTATCGACATGCACCCTCCGAGTCATCCGAGACGTGACAACGTGTTTTCCGTTCTGGCTGAAGCCTCGAGCAAGCAAATGGCCAAAGGTTCATACGAGGCCCGCGTCGGACCAGCAGCTACCATAAAGCTATCTGCGTCGTTCTACCAAGTAAGGTTCTTTTGTGTTGCACGAGCCAGACGGCTGCTTTTCACGCGCGTATCGGTTCCGTCTTCAGTCGCCAAGCAGGTGCAGCAGCCGCAGAGTCAACCGAGTCGGCAGAAATGCCGCCCTCCTCGGCAGCAGGCCCTGCGATTTCCGGGGGCGGCGCTCCCGGCATTTCTGACGCACCGCGCTGGTTGCGTCGAGTGCGGTGCGCCGTACCGCTTCCAGCCCCCACTAAGCAGGCGGGGCCATCCGCATTGTGAGCATCCTCGATCTACGCTCAGTTTGAAGGCCACAGCCCTTCATAGCAGCCCTGGCCGAGTTCTTCGGCCGAACAGCGGCCTGGTCTTCGCCCGCTGCGTCTTCTCCGCCCCCAGCGCTCCAGATGGCCCCTGCATCGCCACTGGGACTTGCTCGGTCTCATTGCTTCTTCTCTTGAGTTGGAGCATCTCAAAGCGTGCTTTTTTTTTGTGTCTGAGGCGGTTGAGCGTGCCTTGGTCGACACGGGCTCTTCCGACTGCGAGCTGAGGGAAGGCTTGCTGAGGCGACTTCCGGAGTTGCCTATCGTGGAGAGAGGGGTCCAGGGCCCAGGGACCCGTTTGGGATCCGTATAGCTGGGACTGGGACCCCGTGGACCGTTCCCAGGTCATGTACGAGACCTCAACTGGCGGAGAGGCCTACGATGCTTACGAGGCTTGGACCAATTCATGGAAACTGTCTTTACCATCGTCCAATGAAGGTGGTGGTGACCATTGATGGCCATCGATGTGCCGCCGTGCTCACTGTTGTGCCGGAGGACCTGTTACGCGTGTCCACACCTGGGAAAAGAGAATTCAAAGTTCAGAAAGCCCGCAGTTCAGGAGCGATTCCAGGCAGGTGCTGAGGAGCCCTGCTCAGATGAGGACGGTGGAGGGTCCGTCAGATTCGGAGCCCCCGCAAGCGGGAAGTGGGAGCCCCTGCAGGCTCTGCTTGGGCACATGGCCATTGCAGCCCTGGGCTTAATGGTCGACTGCCCTACACGAAGGCTGGTGCCCAAGGCAGTCCGAAAGATATCAGGGCGGTTGTGTGGGTTAGTACCGGGCGGCAGATAGGGTCAGTTTGGTCATACAGGTGTGTTGTCCTGTCACCCTCGCCTCTCAACGTTAGTCACATACGCCTTCCATCTGTGATCAGTATGTTATGCTTGGTTGCAGTGGCCTTGAAGTAGCGAAATGTAGCATGCAGGCACCCGAACCAGGAGGCGAGCAGCCCAACCATGGTGCACTCCTCAGCTGCAAAATCCACCGACGGTGTGCACTTTCCAAGCAGCGAGCCGAAGGAACGCCGACGTACCTGGAGATGGGCCAGCTGCATGTTGCCAGCTCACGGCCGTGGGCTGCTCTCCCGCCCTCAGCTCCCTTCGTGGGACCGCTGAGCCAGATGTGGTCGTCTTACCGGCACGGTCAGGCTGCGCTACAGCCGCGATGGCTTCCAGGTACCGGCTGTGCGATGCCACTCATGTTGGAGGATCTGCCAAAGGTCGCGGATGCCCAGCCCTGTGACGTGGATCCGCACGGGATTCATGACCGCAATGGAACGCTTTCTCGTGATTGACTGGCTGGTTGACGCCGGTGGGGTCACTAAGTTTTGGTACTGAAGGGAGCTTGCAAACGAGGTCACCAATTATTCCCGTGACGTACGTGCATTGCATGTTCATGTCCCCCTTCACGCCGGAAAAGGGTGGCTCCTTTGTGAACATGGCCTTGGTGGACACGGGCTCTTCAGACTGCGAGCTGAGAGAAAGCTATCTGAAGAAGCTGGGACCACTTCCGACTGTCGCCGCAGGGGTCGTGTATGAGACGGTGGCTGGGAGGCATGTCTTCGACTCCTACGAGGTGCTGGTTGCCGTAGGGGACCGAGTTTCTGCCGTGGCCGTGACGGGCATCCCAGAGGCCGGGCCCTCTTTGCAGAAACGAAGCACTTCGTAGGCAGCTTCCATTGTGCTGCCGCGAAAGTTGTTTTCCTCGCGGTTGCCTTTGTGCCTGCGAGTATCTGTCCTATCAATGTTGCTTCTAGCACAACTGATGTCCCAACACTACCTACCGCCACACAGGCGGCATCACTGCCACTTAATTTTAATACAGCTTACTGATGCTATCGGTGCTACGATGCGACGACGACCACCAGCATCACTACCAGCACCGCTGCCAAGTGGGTGACAAAAAAAAGCACCGCTGCTGCTGCTGCTGAGGCACTCTAGCCAATTCCGGTCAACCTTGCTTGCGGCTTGGCAGCTTCTGCAGCCTTACCAACAATCATCACCATACTGCTTCTGCTGCGGCGACGACGACAACTGTTGCTATTGCTGCTCCCACTGCCACGGCTACTTCTACAGCTACAGGCATGATACTGCCGCTGCTGCTGCTACTACGACGACGACAACCTACGGCAACTACGACTGCTACGACGACTACGACGA